GTCATACGACATGTTGGACTAGGGCTAGCGAAATGCTATATTCCAGCAGTGTATGGTTGAGGGAGTTGTCCGAAGATGGCGTTGTAAGGCTTTTCCTGTCAACTGCTGGGGGTTCTGCGGTCGCCGCCTACGAGACTTCGACATTTCAGTGCCCAGAGGCCTAGCTTCTGTATTAGGAAGTCATCTGTATTGCAGTCAGGAATGGCGTATATGTCGATGAGGTCAATATCCTGGCTTAAACACTTTAATCTGCAACGTAGAAATTCGCACTGTACAACTTCATGTGCGAGCGATTCAATGCTAATCACAGTCAGACATCTATGAAGCAAATGACTTTGCCCGTCTCTGTGTGGCTCAGTCAGTCAGTGCGTCGGTGGCACAGTGGTTAGGACTCTCGCCGACCATGCACATGGTCCGGGGTTCGATCCCCTGCCGGCGCACACCCGATATCTATGGTCGGCCTGTAAATTTGGGCTACCGATATCCATGCTGAAAATTCCATACCTGTACCAGGAAATTACGGTGTGGAATCAAGCTGTAAATCAAAAATAAAAAATCAAAAAAATAGAAAACCAGTGACTCTTCCATTTCGTGGAGAGTGAGCGACCTGTCGAGGAGATCAGGTTTACTTGGGGTGGCTTTCCTGCTCCATAGTTCAAGCGTCTTTCTCTTCTCCATGGACGATTTGGCATTTATGGTGTATTTATCTTGCTTTTCGCGGAAGACGAAATCACTTCATTCACTGATGCGCTCTTCGGTATCTGTCGTTAATTGTGTCCGCCTACTATCCACTTGCGTGGACGACGCTTGATTCTCAAGTTTGGGAGTGAATTCAACCGCGGGTTTTCGATCCTTTGGTATGCCTTTCTCTAGTGCCAGTAATAGGCGAATTGGTGTTAGACTTCTGTGCCCCCCTTTCATTATTGGCGTCGTAGGGATTATCGCGTATCACAGGGACAGCGTGGGTATCCGAGCTATGGTGGATGCTCCCCTGTGCTGAGGGGTATTCATTCCCTGACAATGATGCATTGAGAATGAGTATTTTATTACCAATGGTGATGGCCGCGTTATTGGTTTCTGGGCAGTAGTCGCTCTTCTCCTGTGTTGGCCGATCTTTGAAGTTAGAGGCTTTAATGCTCCGCTGAGCGTGCCAGTAGAATCTTTAATACTAAGCTCATTCGTGCAGCAGCAGTCATCATATAGCCAGTTTGCCAAAGATCGATCGCAGCGCCTGTATTCTGCAGTAGTAAAGTTATTGTAGATGCTGTGGAACCAACGCTTGCAGCTATCACACTGCATGCTTTTCTGACTGGGAATTGACGAAAAAGTCTGCCGCAATGGTTTCTTCTGACAGGCCTACTTTCCAGAATGAAATCTGCCTACAGGATTCAAATATGACGTAAGGGACAATTTTTATAAGACGAGCGATAAAACCATCGCGTTTCTAAAAGAGTTGATATATAATTAAGCACGCTCCTTGAATACGAGAAGCTTTTTCCTCTCTTATCAAGGAGTACCTATTTTGTGAACTATCCACTTGGGAAATCTGATCTTTCTAACCGGTGAATTAAATTCAACCATTACTCCCACATTAAATTTCTGTGTGGTGTGTCCAGCTGTCTTGAGCTACTACCAAAGCTTCGGGTGCTACATATGTAGCAACATCTCCCTCACTCGTCCGGGTAAGCAAGACTTGTTGGTCTTCCACGTGATTGCTGTGAAGCTGAGTAACCAAAAAGCACTAGGTGAAGTCAAAAAACCTTTTATTTTCCTCATATTATACTTTGTCAATAATAATTTATATTTTCTTATAAACGGGTGTTTACAAAAAATGCGTGCCATTTTACAGGCACGATCAGTTATGTTATAAGTTACAATCGTGAAGTATTGTAAATTAATACTTTTTAGAAAGTTTAAATTGTTCGATTATTGTACAATCAATCAGAACAGGTTCATATAAATGTTAAATATTACACCCTTCACTAAGGTCACTATCAAAGTTGAGCGCCAGCCCAAACTTCGTCCCGCTTTATGTTGATAGTCATAGTCACCCAGTGAACCGCATATATTTGGGTAACTGCTATATCACCTCATTATTAAAAGCTATTTCAGGAAGAGGAGAACGTTCTAGGAAACTGCAGAACTGTATAAAACAAAATTATAGATAATACATCATCTTTCTGTTCTTGTTCTATTAGGCAGATACTGTTGCTATCTCTTATTCATATAGAAGCATAATTTATAGTAATTGTTAATATGACGGTTGAAAATAGCATTGAAAAGAGAACTAAGACGACATATTCTGCAGTGACAAGGGCTTTAGCCAAAGGAGGAAATGAAACAAGGTTATTAACCTCATCTCGCATACCGGTTCTAAAGACCCGTGTACACGTTCTCTGCTATCAAAAATGCCTACATCGCCACAGTCCAGCAATGAAACTATACAGTCAAAACCAAGTGGACATAGTACTACACCTATATACGTTGGAAGCGAGTGTGTGACAAAACAGCAAAACAAACAAGAAATACTCGAAACGCCATATGATCTCAAAAGCGTCTTCTAGAAAGGGAGACGGATGCCGGGCCTGTGGCGTTGTTGTTTCTAGAACTGACTTAGTATTTGGATGCAATTTTCGCAACCAATGGGTGCAATGTCATTGTAACAAAGGAGTGCCAAAGCCTTACTACGAGTTTATTCGAAATAACCCGTGTTCGTGTCTCTGGTATATTTCCCCACTTTGTTGCCCTGGCACAGTCTCGCACTGCTTGCCATCTAGTAACAGAGACAGCACGCCACTTTTCCGTCTTGACACAGCCTCAAACAGAGCTCCACCTAACAACACCACATCATTAAAACTTAGTAAAAACCGTAAAAAGGAAACACCAGCCCAACCGACCACAAATATCGATCTTCGTAAACTGGTGACTCCTAAGGACACACCCGAAACAGTAGGGGAAGACGGAATTGCCAAAGGACGACTTGCATCTGCTAGCAATCGTGGCAACATCCCAAAGACTAGCCAGAACCTGATGAAGTCTAAAGTGACCGACCCTTCTAAGGAGGACAAGCAGCCAAAGACCAAACCTAAGTCTGAGGTCAGTCGATCGAATTCCCTTATCCTGTTTAATGTACCAGTGTTCAATGATATTCTGCCTGAACAAAATGCTCTGTTTGTTCAAGAACAGTGGTCTAACTTTCATAGCAAATTAGGGCTGGGCATCAGTTCAGCAAAATTGTGAAGACCGTACAGGGGTGTTCAGGCACCTCAAGGTAAGTCACCTCCATTAAGGGTGACACTGGGTTCTGCCAAAGAGGCTCAAGGAATGCTGTTACTGTGTTAGGAGACCTCAAACCACACGGGGCAGCAGACTGAGGTGCAATACATCTGCAAGCCTCAGTAACACCACAGAGATGCGGCACTGAGAATGACAGTCCGTGTCACCCAACTGTCCTTCGGGAATCCAAGGGTAAAACCGACAACGGGCTAGTTCTATTGGAATCGGCCAACTAGTCTCAATATTCAATCCTCTACCAGGAGACAGCGTAGCGTCAACTATCCCACAACGCGCTGGGGTGGGGAGACTCACTGTCCGCTGCCTTTACGGCAATGTGAGAGGGCTTAGAGGAAAAGTAGGAGAACTTACAAACTTGCAGTCACACCTACACCTAGTCATCCTTACTGAAACCTGACTAACCCTCACTATCGCTGACGACGAAACCAGTATAAGTGATGTGGTTCTGATCAGGAGAGACAGGGATAACAAGGAAGGGGGGTTGCCATGCACTTCGAGAGGCAACTTAAATGTGTACGTGCAACGGACCCATCCCTTACTGAACTCTTAGACTCTATATGGTGTCATCTCACCGTAGGCCACACCAAGCACTTACTGGGTGGCATCTACTGGTCACAACCAGCCACTGCTCAGCACCATCACAAGGATACGGCACTTGGGCTATGGCCAAATCACTACAGCTAAAGACTTCAATGTCTAATCCCTGAAACTTGGCTCTGGGTGTGCTCAGGGAAAATTTGGTCGAAATCTAGTACAAATCATTAGAAACACAGGACCGACCGAGAACATTGGAGATGATGCTAGGTGGGGCCCTAGTGGAAAGTCATCAAAACTAGATTATATTCTAACTAGTGACCAACTACTTGTCGAAAATGTGCAAATCATGATCCGCCAGGTAGTAGTGCACAGTAGTGGATGATCGCATCAGGCAACACCTTGAAGGACTAGTAGATTCCATGAAGCACAACATGGTTTCAGGAAAGGCAGGTTCTGTGTAAAAAACCTACTATCAGCTTGGTATGATTGAACGTCATGTTGAGATATGAATATTCCAGTCCATATGATCTTCCTAGACTTTGTAAAGGGATCTGACACAATTCACCATTACCTTCTGTTAATCGCGACAGATAGATAGACTGTATGATAGACAGCCAATCACTATGATGTGACTTATTCCAACCGGAATGAACCAAGTTTAATTTAATCTATGGACTTTTGGGGCGTATAACACAACAAACCCGAAATTAAACAGGAATGTGGAAAATTCCCTCTCTTTTCAAAGTTTTCGCCATGAGTTTATTTCTTACTGGAATTATGGTATGGTGTGATACACCTGATTAAGTGCTGTTTGCTCTCAGTTTTTCACATTATCAATAATACCTCAAGAAAATCAAGTGAACCAAAATAGTATTCCCTGTCATGCAGCTTGAACAATGCTTTGTTTAAGTCGGCTAGTGGATAACCTTTGTTAAATGGAACTTTTATGAAAATGTTATCAATTGATGTTATTTTCATACTGTGATGTTCACGATGGAACAGAAGTAGTTCATGCACAGTTATAATTTTTGATTTTAGCAGATGCATGGTGATCGACAAAAAATATTTTCTGAATTTGTCTTGTGAGGAACTAGAGAATATAACATCGGATCTTAATGTGAAAATAGTTTCAGACAATGATACTTTCGACGATTCAAAGTATCCAAAAGATGATAGAGCTGAAATTGATGTAATGCCTTATACATTTTGGATTACATTCCAGGTTGAATATTTGTTTGTTAGGGTACAATACACTCTAAGAAATCAAATAGGAAAGTCCAGCAACCAGTTTTCATGCACTCCTGAAGTAATAGACAGATATGTTCGAAGCGTCTTTGATTTGCCATCAAAAACGTATGATGAACTGTGCACCCAGGCTTGTCAAGCTGAAGTAAGTCCCTCACTATCTAAATATCAGTGAATATTGAAACGTATTAGTTAGCAAAATATTGCGTATCTTTTAGTGTTATTCTTGTGAAGGTAGAGTTTTTCTCCTTTGTATCACAAGAAAGGTATTTCCATTTCTGGTTTTGAGTAAAAATCTTTAAGAACAAATAATGGAATTTTCCTGTGCTTGATAATAGTTTTACTTTTGTCAAGTTTCCCTAATTACTTGCTTTATTATATAGACTGTACAATTATCTTTGCATTCTGTGTGCTTGACTTAATCATTTAAAACCCGAACTTGTGATGGTTTCGCTATAAACTGCTCCTAACTAGAAAAATATATGAAACAATGTTAGTCTACTAGAGCTACCTAAGAGCATTTAGCAAAATTGTCTTATTTCGTAGGTGATTTTGTGAGAATGGATAAATTATACCAGTGACCACAGTTTTAAATCAAACAGTGAGTGTCACATGATTATGTTCATGTTTGAAAACAAAGTCACATTTTATGTGACTTATTTATTGTGGATTACCACAATACTTTAAAATAACAGAATTGTTATTCGCTACTCTCAGTATGTAATTATTCATGTTTCTTGTTGTTATGGTAGCGGAAGTTTTATATTCACTCTGATTTTTAATTGTGCTAGTTAGATTTAGGCAGCTGTTGAAATCTTAATGATAAAATAAGTGACTGTTTTCCCTGTTTTTGAGCACTGGGTATGAAATAGCAGACGCCCCTGCAATAATAGTTGGGTGTAGTCTTTCACTTTCATAGCTGTGAGGGAGAAGACACATACTGCTGCATTTGCACATGTGAATTCATCACTGTTGGAATGGTTGCATGTGCATATACAACTGATTATATTTGAAATTATCTGTCTGTGGTTTGTTATCAAACAATCACATAAGAGTGGCGAGGTTATTGGCTGGTGACAAAATAAATATTTCACAAAGGTAGTTAAGTAGCTAATCAGTCTGCAATTTTTGAAAACTGTGAGTAAGTAGCTTGTTTCGATACGTTCAAATGTCTTTAAAATTTCCCCTTAATAATTTGAAATTGTTGAACTTAACACTTACTAAAGTAGTGTTGTTAAAGAGGATGCTTGTAAGGTACATGGTAATAAATGCATAGTTTAAGACTGACAAATATCTATAAAAACATTTTCAGCATGGACGTCTTACTGTTAACAGTTTGTAACTGATTTGATAGTTAGCATTTCAAGCATGAATTTCTGAGTTAGTTCTAAGTGTGATACACCACAATAAGTGACTTAAATGTTTGAATTTTTAGAATGTTTGAGGAAATAGGAGGGAGCTAAAATAAAGCACGTTATATTATTTCTATGGCTTAGACAGTAACAGAAGTGCAAAATACTTCGAAAATTCTTCAGGAATACAATGACACAAGCTGATGACTGCAGAAAATTTTCTCGGTTCATTCTTGCCACCTTGAATCATCAGTCAAAACTGTAAGAAATTTCAGGAAATATTTGGCCAGGTGTTTGTCTTTTGAAGTTATAGCCTACATCAGCAAAAGAACGGTACAGGTCATTAATGTGTTTGGTAGTCAAAAAGTGTTGTAGTTATATATCTTCTGTAGTGTGAGAGTGATTAAGTGATAGTTCTCACAGACTGGAGTAAACAGGCATACCCACTTAAAAGAAATACATCTTTAATTTTTCAAAATAGGTAAGCGAATACAATTTTAGTTTTTCGAGCGATTTTATGCTTTAAAGATTAGAAGAGTTTTCCTCACGAACTCGTCTGCAATTTGAACAACCTTTCGAAGTAACTGGCAAATGTCTTTGACCAGTGCCATTCGATTTTAGGCAGTTGAAATTAGTGGTAAATATTAATTTCACAGGAGTGTTTACAGTAGTAGTAAATAGTTTTCGACTTTTCTTCATTAGCTAAAACTATCAGTTTGATTTTGGTCATCTAGTGATTATTCCATCAAGTGTGCTGTTATGCAAGTTATTGATCTACAAATGTATTTGCTTACCTTGAATATATGAAGGTGAATTAAGTGAGAAAACTAAAGTTGTGCAACTAAAGTTATAGAGATAAAAGCTAATTAACATTCTTTTAGTAGCATAGAGATAAGATCTGTTAATATCATAAACCATATCCAGTTCTCTTTAGAAAACTTTCACCAAAGGCTTAGCTTCATTTTGCAGTCCCTAGCTATAAGTTGGCAAATCAAAATATTTAAAGAAGCATCATTAGACTGAGTGGAACCCCTAACTTGTTACCTGGATGCAAATTTATGCCTCCGAAAGGTATCTGAAAAACAAGCAATAAAGGTTAATAAAGCAGGATTTAATGAATTCATCAAATTTCGGTAGAACTCGTCAGCTGAATACTCTACATACACGGATATATACTTTTGAAATTACATTGGGAGATACAGGACTGAATACTTTACATAATGTAATGTAATTTCTAAAATATATATATCCATGTATGTAAAGTATTCAGTTCTATATCTCCCAATGTAATTTCAAAAGTATATATCCGTGTATGTAGAGTATTCAGCTGACGAGTTCTGCCGAAATTTGATGAATTCATTAAATCCTGCTTTATTAACCTTTATTGCTTGTTTTAAATTCGTATCGGGAAATAAATGTTTCCAATTCTTGAAGAAGTATCTGAAAAAGTTAAGTGCCTTTTGAGTGAAGTATTGATTTCGCGTGACTACTCAATTCATTTTATTGGTTAGCTTGCAGTGAAACAGGCCTTCATGTAATGCATTACTTACTTTTTTTTCCTGATCTTTATAATTGAGAATTTGTTTATTGCTAAAAGTACAAGTTATATTGGTATGTGAATGTTCCATTTTAAATCTCACAGAAGTATTTCTTACGAATGTTTGTCCCATGAGTAATACAAAAATTCCACGTAACACAAATGAATGTGTAGAGGAACAAAAGACAGCATCAAGTGCGAAATAAGTTAATAGCTATTTTGTGAAGAAGGATCCTGAGGCAATGCTAAATCACCTGAATTCTAAATTTTTTTATAATTGCACGGAAAAAGCTTGGATCATCATAAGTGAATCTGTTGTTGATAGTGTACTTCCTGTCACAAATCCAGATTAACAGAAAGATAGAGTTTATCTGACTTTCATATGTGTTATGGGTAGGCACTATTAGAACTTTAATAAGGAGTAACTGAAATTTTAAGCCTTTTTTTATTCGTATTTTGAAATGGGAAAGGTAGAGACCAAAATTCAGATCTGCATTTCAGTAGTAACCTATTATTAAGTCAAACCTTGGCCCTTCGTGACGCGCCAAGTCTCTGATCCGTATAGTAGCACTGACTTCACATTGGAGTTGAAAATTCGGATCTTATTTTTCATGCTGAGTATTGCTGTTGATCTCCACACAGACTTAAGAGTAATGAAAGCTTGTCTTGCTTTTCCGATTCTTGCTTTGATATCCTCGTCAGTTCCGCCTGTAGTTGAAACGATGCTTTCTAGGTAGGTAAAGAAGGTTACTTCTTTCAGATTTCTCTCATTTATGTTGATTGTTGTCAGTTATTGTTGCTGTTGGCCAGGAATCTTCATCACCTCTGTTTTCTCTATGTTCACCTGATGTCGTATCTTTAATGTTTCGTCCGCCAACTTGTTGCATATCTTCCAGTTTGTGGGAAATCAGACATAAATATATCGTCGACGAAGTCCAGATCCTCCAAGGTTTTAGTGTGAGTCCATTTTATGCCTGTCTCCTATTTGCCCCCTCTCTGTCACACTCACCAGCCCACCGCAATCAAGAAAATCATTGGAGATAGTAAGCAGCCAGCTTGTCTTACTCCTGTTCTCACTTCGAGGGATTCCGTAAGTTTCCCGTTGTGAATTACTTGGCATGCAGCATTGTCGTACAACTGTTTGATGATTAGCACCTTGATTGACACTCAAGTAATTATTCCACTGGAAGTCATGCATTACGAGGTGAAACATTCAGAAATACGTCCTTTGCATTTTGGAAACACCGACACAATTCAAAACAATTTTACTGCTCTCCACTATCTAACTTGCCTTCCATTTAATCATTCGATCCTGAACTCGTGTCGGAAAAGAAGAGAAAAGAAACCCTCCATATGTGCCTGCATTAATATGCTGAATCGGTTATCAAACAGAAGATATTGGATTCGATTAGAAGGAGTATACTTACTGACGGGTGTGTTTCAATTCATAATTCTGAGAGTTGATAAAACCAATTGCATCCACATATATATATATATACATGTGCATACTCAATGTTTACCTATTTATCGAATTGAGTGGTGATGAATTCCCAACAAATCTATTGTTCTATTTTTTTGTGATTACAGCTTGATTCCACACCGTATTTTCCTGGTACAGGTATGGAATTTTCAGCATGTGATATCGGTAGCCCAAATTTCACAGACCGACCATTGATATCAGGTGTGCGTCGGCAGAGGATCGAAACCCCGGACCATGTGCATGGTCGGCGAGAGTCCTAACCACTGTGTCACCGACGCACAAGTGAAAACTCACCCCACACTTCACCACAACACAAGTGGGAGAAATCAGGTGTTGAGATGAAAGACAAGATGATGAGATATGAAAATAAAAGCAGAGATTGTGAGTCTCGACTTGGCTAGTTTGTTCAAAAATGTCGAGGCTAAAACTTAAGATTTTCAAAAATTAAACTTCCGTGGACTGTAAAAAGGATTACAATATTATGATACTGTTTTTCAATTTATTTAACTCCGTTTTATTTGTTCCAGTTCATGTTTATTATTCGGTTCATCATTTCACAAATGTTCACAGTACATGCCACTTGAGATAAATTTCTTTTCCCAGTAATCCCACTTCTATTCTATTAATTTCAACATCACCTTCATCTCTGTCTTCATGATATATATGTATATATATATAAATGTATTAGTTAAGCCATTTTAATTCTATGGTAACGTTTTGTTTGGCATAGCACACAGTAACACAATATGATCTACAAGATGAGTAAATGATAATTC